TTTTTTTGGCTACTCACTGAAAAACAATTCTCCAATTCACATGATTTTCATGGGCAACAAGGCAAACCCTCTCCCACTTTGCCTTGCTGCCCATTAAAATCAAGTGAATTACACAATGCTAAACTTTTAAAATGTTGTTGTTCAGCCCTGTGCTTTAATCCCCTCAATCCTCTGCTCATTTTGGGTGTTACACTTATTAGACTTTCACATACGTGATGTTCAAAATTAACTTGTGGTAACTAAAGCAGGCCATTAATTAGGTAAATGCGTGTTCATCTTAGTAATTTGATTAGTCATTTTTAAAGGAAATTACATTTTTAATGTGATAACCAAACTGGACTTAAGTGTCATATTTTTTTGCTGCATTTCAGCTGGAGTTGTGGTTTGCCGGGCTTTATTCCTTTTTATGAGCAGCCAGTGCTGGGTTCCTTTTGCAGTACAGAACTGTGCTTTAGTTGATCTCACATTTATGCATTCAATCAGTTAGAATATGATTCAGAATGGTTGGACACTTTCACGCTAAATTTCATAAGGTAAATAAAACATTTGCAAAAGAAAAATGTTAAAAACCCAAACCATGCCACTTTTGTGCTGATTAAATTGAGTATCTGTGATTTGCCTGGCCCTGGCAGACTTCTTCATCATCAGGGATGCTTATAGACTGTTTAACCTCCTTCTTGGAGGACAAAAATGTTATTTTGTTGTGGGGTTTTCTCAGATTGGGAAAATCTTCAGCTCTGACAGGCCAAGAATGCCAGGCTGGGTGAGCACACAAGTGCAGCTGGTGTATCTCGAGCCCACCTCTGCTCATTTTTGTCTCCCACCCCTTTTCTCTAGCATTTTCATAATAATCCTTGTTATTTTTATTCTTCAGATATCCAAGGGAAGACCTAAATGATACAACAGCAATCCATTAACTGGAGCCTATGAGGAATGGATATTTTCCTGCTTGTCAGAAATCTGTTTACTCTGCTGCCTTCGTCACGTCCCGGTGTCACATTCGTGTGCAGTTTATTTCTGTGCCTCAGAACATCTGCTCTTTGTTGCTTTTCATGATGCTGCCTCTCCTCCAGGCTGGGAAATGGCCAGGTTGTGTTGGTGGGACTCTCCCTCCGTGGTACCTGCAGTTTGCAAACAGTTTTGGTTCAAAAAGATGTGTATTTACTGCTCTGCAAAACGCTGAGTGTGCCTCGCTGGCTGGGTTTCTCCACCAGGGCATTTGCTGATTTCTCTGTAATGCAGAGCATGGGGGGAGAACAGTTCAATGAGAGGAAGAGAAATAAATCAGCTGTTTCTAACAGTAAAATAAGGGCTCAAACCCAAAAGATGGAAAACCAAGAAATCCAGCAGGTGATGTGGGAAGAGCAGGTTTATTGCTGCATTCCTCCAGATACACAATGCCAGTAAACATATATATAACATATAATATATAATATATAATATGTTATATTTATTATATTTATTGTATATATATATATATTGTCACACAAATTTCTGAGTGACATATACCTCTTCTTTATCTATCCAGTTTGTCGGTCCATATGTGGTTATGGACAATTAACAATTACAATTAATGGTTGTAATTTTTAAAAGAAATTGTATTTAAAATTAATTATTTAGACTTCTGTGGCTTGGGCTCTGGAATACTTGCAAGATTGACTTCAGCGTTTACAGAATAGTTTGAGTAGTACAGAAGAGGATCAGCAGTATCTGAGCTTTAAATACCTGCTAAAAATTGCCTGAAGTTTGCATTTGTATCAAGGTATTTCAAAAATAAAATAAAATTTTAAAAAAATGTTAACGATTATTAAAGTACAGAAAATACTGAACCAAAAAATCAGATAATTTCTCAGTAGGAAATGGGCAGATAACTGTTGCTGCTATCATAACTTCAGGTTTTGGAAGAGAGAGAGTTTTATTTGCCTGAATTTTTCTATTTTTTTGTATTTTATTTACCTGTAATGATTTATCTGACCTGTCACTCCTGTGGGCTGTCACCTGCCTGTTGCTGTTGCCGGTTGATCTCATGTCACACACAGAATTTGCTTTGAGCTCCCTCTCACATCCCAGCAGGAATTGTTCCCAAGAGTACAAACCCCTCTCCTGCAGCAGGAGCTCATCCCTGTTCAAAGCCTGCAGGGGTAAAAGTCTGTCACTAATGAAGGATGATCTATGAAATAAACTGTCCTGGGCTTTCCAGGTGAGCTTTAATGGAGTGCTGAGCACAGAAGATGTCCAATGCTGTGCAGGTTTTGCTGCTTCTCCTCCAGGAGCATGACCATAATTCAGGAAATTCCCTCCTGACAAAAGCCTAACTCCAGCTAATTGTGTTCCCTGGCGATGTTCATCCACCAGAGGGTGAGAGCCTGGGCTGGGAGGAGAATTCACTGAGGTGTCTGATGAAACTCACTGAAAGAGTGCACCTTAGGATGCTCCACCCTTTCCTTCTCTCCTCCTCTCAGTTTGTCAACACAACTAATCACGAATCGTTTGATTTCTTTCAGCATTTTGACTTCAGTGGTAGCAAACAAAACTGGATTTGAGATTGCTGTTGTGTTCTCTCCTTTGATATTGAGCCTTCCTGTCATTTAACATGCCAGCAATTCAGTATTCTCACATCCTATCAGACACAATCGTCTTGAATTGCCTCACAAATGTGCTCTGAAGTGTTCAAGCATCACAAACAGTAGTTTGGACCCCAAAAATGCCATTTGTTCTTTTTCAGGCATAGGTTTATGCGCTATTAAATTCATCAGACTCCCTGTAATATCAACTGATACTCTTTCAACAAAGTTTTCCCTCCCAGTAACAGCAGTGCTTCACAGAGAGCTCTGCATTTTGGTTGTTCTGCATTAAAAACCAAGTTTTTGACACTTCCACCAAGTTCAGTTGCCATTTGCCTTGGTGCAGATTTGGATTTAAGGTTGCTACAATGCTCTACAAGATGTTTTAGAACCCCTCTGACTCTGGCATTTGAGAATGATGGATATTTTAAAAGATGTTTGTCAGCAAGTGGTGGCAATGTAAAGAGGGAAATTAAAAATCAACCAGCAATCAAACTCCACAAAATTCCCTTGAGAAGTTGCTTATAGAGAAGGGCCAATAGATTCAAAGTGAATAAAGTGTGTAAAGTGGGAAATCCTATTTCTTTTATATAGCCATGACACCTTCAGAGCGCACAGGGTGGGTGAACAGGGCTCCTGCTACTCACCCAAACATCCAGGAGGGAGAGAAACCACTGTGGGGCACTGTTTTGAAGGGTCTGCTAGCCGTGGTTCCAGCCAGAATCACTCCTTCAAACCCAAAAGCAAATGTTGAGACTGTACAAAAAAAAACTCAGAAATCAGATTTCATCACTAAGAAAACAAGCTTTCCACAGAAATACGCAAGCAGGGCCAGACCTTGTGTCACTGCCATCCAAGCAGGATAATCACTCTGTTTAATCTTCTTTGGAGTTTGTTTCACAGCAATGGGGCCTGACACTCAGAGTGCTCCCAGCATTTCTGGTGGCCACGGGCATCTGGTGGCCACACAAAGAGCTCAGCTGGCACTGGAGGTGCCTTTCAGCCCTGCAGAAGGGACCTGGCAAATCTGCTAACCTCTTACCTGTTAAAATGTTAACCTGCTAACCTGTTAATCTGTTTTCCTGTGCCCAGGAAAATGGAACTCTCATCCAGTCACAGGGAATTTGGTCTGAGTGAGCCAAATCACCCAGAAATGCTCTCAGGCAATAAGCAGTCCTGAGTCTGTACAGGAAGCAGTGTGTCCAAAGAGAGGGTGTTTTTATATAATCACCCTTCTGTCTGGAACAGGACTTTAACAGATATTGAAATGTCATTTATCTATATATATAATTCGTCTCCCAGTGTGTCCATGGTGTTTAAATTACAACCATCACCTACTAGCCCTGCTGTTTTATTTGGTTTTGTCATTCTGTAGTACATAAATATTTCTAAATTCAACCCTTAATTAAAGAATCCTGCACAGTTCTACCTTACAATGTGTAAAATTCAAACTGTGGAAGTGGTAGTACCCAGGATTTTATTAAATTTCTAACTCTAAAAGAAGCTGTTACATGGATTTACTGTATTTATTATTAGAGCACCTTTTCCACTCTATATGGCCTGTAAAGGTCAGCAGCCAAATGAGCTGTGATTGTGTGTATTTTGGATAAAAGGAAAAGGGTTGGGCTATGTGTTTTATGTTACACACAGTGCTTATCCCAAAACTCTGGAGAAAGAGCATCTGAATTACTCTGAAAGACAGCCTGGTGGGAAAAGCACCCAAATTCTGGTGACAAGGTTAAATTTCTTGAAGATACACAGCACCCCTTCCTCAAACGATTTCTGAGATAAAGCAATGTGGGGGGCTGTGATTACAGAGGTTTTGGTAAAATTTGGGGGAATGCAAGTGCGGCTCTGGCTGCTCCTGCTCGCAGCCATCGCCTGGGACAGGGCTGCTGTCACTCCCGGTGACCTGGCTGCAGTGCCCGAGGGGCTGCTCGGGCTGGAGCTGTCCCGGGATGCTCGGGCTGAGGCCGGTGCTGTCCCGGGATGCTCTGGATGGAGCTGTTCCGGGATGCTCTGGATGGAGCTGTTCCGGGATGCTCGGGCTGGAGCTGTCCCGGGATGCTCGGGCTGACGCTGGAGCTGTCCGGGGGATGCGCTGCAGGCTCAGTGCCCCGAGCCAGCATGGAGCTGTCCCGAGCACGGCGGGGCTGCTGTGCCGGGGGGAAACGCGGCCCTTGTGCCGGCTGGACACACAGCCACACACAGCCACACACAGCCACACACTCCATCCCCACGCTGGCTGTGGCCTGTCCCCATCCCTGTCCGCATTGCTGTCCCCTCCCTGTCCCCATCTCTGCCCCCATCGCTGTCCCCATCCCCATCCCCTCCGTGTCCCCTCCCTGACCCCTGTCCCCATCCCTGTCCTCTCCCCATCCCCATCCCATCCCCATCGCTATCCTCTCCCCATCCCCATCGCAGAGCGCGGAGCGCGGCGCACGGAGCGCGGAGCGCGGCGCACAGAGCGCGGAGCGCTGCCGCCGGCGCATCGCACAGCCCGCTCCCGGCCCCGCCGCAGCCCCCCGCCCGGCCAGATGATGAACTTTCTGCGGCGCAGGCTCTCGGACAGCAGCTTCATCGCCAACCTGCCCAATGGCTACATGACCGACCTGCAGCGGCCGGAGCCGCAGCAGCCTCCGCCGCCGCCGCCTTCCGCGGGCTCCTCGGCCCCCGCCTCGGGCTCTCCGGCCGCGGAGCGCCGGCAGCCGCCGCAGCCCGCGCCCCCCCAGCAGCAGCAGCCGCCGCAGCAGTCGGCGGGCAGCAGCTTCTTCAGCTCGCTCTCCAACGCCGTGAAGCAGACGGCGGCCTCGGCCGGGCTGGTGGACGCGTCCGCCGCCGTCTCTGCCGCTGTCGGCAGAAAGTTCAAGCTGCTCCTGGTCATCGACGAGCCGCACACGGACTGGTAGGTGCCCCCCCGCATGCCCCTGCATCATCATGATCATCATCATCATCATCATCCTCCGTGCCCCCGTCCTCCCCCCGTCCTCCCCGCGGTGCCCCCGGCAGGTGCGGCTCACCTGGGGCAGAGCCCCGCAGCCGGCCCCGCCGAGGGGCTGGAGCGCAGCCTCACGGACTGGAAGATGGAGCAAAAAAAAACCAAAAAAACCCAGCCCCAGGGAGCCCTGGAGCGCCTGACTAGCCGTGAAATCTGCTTCCCATCACACCACTAAATAAAACATATATAGCGCCCTGACCAAGCATATCCTGTGTTCTCTGGGGAAGCACAGAACCCGTGTGCAGGGTCAGGTTGGATTTAGGTGCCCTGGGCAGGGATTGCTGTGCGGAGCTGCTGTGGTGGTGGCGTTGCGTGTGTTAATCCGTGTTTACGAGCCGGTTTGTTTTCACGCAGCTCCCGCTGCTCTGTGGCATTCGGGTGAAGCATCTCCGGGAAGCCGGGCACCAGCCCTGGCTCTGCCCTAGCTCAGGGGATTCCTGCCGTGGGCTTCATTAACAGCCCTGCTTCTGCCCTAGCTCCGGGAATTCCTGCTTCATTAACTCGGCCGGTTTTATTTGGGCTGCGTGTTTGGCTCCCGCTGGTAGCATGAAAAACATGGGATTTTCCAAGCGTGGGACTTGGCCATCAGCGTGCCGGCTGGTACAGCAGCAGAGGTTATGGCTGTTGCAGACCTGTTTGTACTGCTGGATGCTGTGCTCTAGAGGAAGGACATCTTCCCATCCATCCCTCGCTAACTTGTGTGTTTGCACATCGAGCTGGCAATCCTCTCGTTCGCTGGTGCTCATTACAGTGCAGAAGGTCTTAGCAGCGCCTTAAAATAATGCAGAGTAAAACAAGTCTGGTTTTGTGACGCTGAGATCACCCGGTAATGGATTGTGGGTTTAGGGTTTTATTCTCAGCGTCTCGAATTTACAGCCTTGCTGTCTGTCTGGGCTCGTGCAGTGCTGTGATCTGATCCAATTTGCTTTAAAAATGGTACTTCAATAAAATACTTGGAACGAAAATTGAAGCCTTTAACTATAGCAGATACGTTATTTCTGTTAAGATAACATTACCTGTTACATTTTCCAGGCTTTTTCTTTTTTTCTTCTGTCTGGTTGTGTGGTTGGTTGTGTGTGTGGGGGGGTGGTGTTGTTGGTTTTTTTTTTCTTTTTGAAAAAACAAGGTGGTTGTATCAACCAGACTGAGGCAGCCTCTGTAGCTACGTCATGGAGATGCATCCATGGACACTGCTCCCTGCCTTGCAGAAACATCTATTTATTTTATATTCTAGAGTGCACAGCTCTCTGCCTGATACATTCAATAATTGTATTTGCCCATAAGGTTTCTTTCTGGGAGATTTTTCTGTGCATACTGGAGCCAGTCTGAGTATTTTGAACGTGGTTTTCCATACGTGGTTTACATACCTGATAAATGCACCCCAAACCAGCACAATCTGTGCACAGGGGCAAAGCTTTGAAAGCCCTGCATGGGCAGTTCCCCCTGGAGCACTCCAGGTAGGAGCCTCACACATCCACACAAGGTTGGTTACTCATGCCTGCTTACTTTTGCCTTTTTTTTCTCCCCCTCATAGTATGTGACATGGATACATAGTAGTTGTAAAAAAAAACCAGTTTGTTGTTGTACTGGCTCTTTCCTTTCCCAAGAATCAGTTGTTTTGTAGCAGATTTTGAAATATATTTTGAAAAATGATATATCTGACCCTTGTGAGCCCCTTCCAGCTCCAGAGATGTGTGAATTCTGGTAATTCATGCAGAGGAGTTTGTTCATACCTTGGGAAGTACGGATCTCCGTGCACTGATCTGCTGGGGTATTTGACTCTGTGGGCTAAAATGGAATATGGATTGTAATTTGGCAAGGCAGAGGAAGGTTGGGAGGGGCAGCAGGTGAGTGCCAGTGGCTGCTGGGCACCCCCAGCTCCCCGGGCTGTGCTGCAAGGGGAGGCTGGCACAGCTCTGTCATGTGATGCTCTGAGCAAACCCCGCCAACAGCAGCAGGAGCAGCAGCACAGCATCCCTGAGAGCCTCCAGAAACCCTCCAAGCTGCTGGGCTCTGCTCCTCACAGGAGGATCAGGTGCTTGGCCTCTGGTTTTGTGGTGTTTTGTGCTGCACTGTGTTTGTTTGCCTTCAATTGAAAACGTGTATTGCTTGTGGGTTGCAGGCTCGATAGAAATCCGAGGGTTTTGGATGGACCACACTGAAATCTCACTGGTTCAGTGTCCTCTCCTCAGCAAGGGCCAGAGCAAACATAAGCCTCCTTCTATCAGCAAAGACAGAAACCCTGGCATAAAGGGACCCTTTCTCTTACCCCTGCCATTAAGGGACGTTTTGTTTCCAATATATTTTATTTCTGTGGAAGGTTGGTACTTCAAGTCTAAGATTCAGTAACCCAACGTTGTTGTTGTTGTTGTTGCTCGTGGAATCACTTGGGGTATTCTACCTAGAACCAAATCCCAGCTGTTGCTGGCATTTTATAATCTTGATCTCAGTGACATCTTTCCTCCATTTGCCCTAAGAGGTTTGTCCTGTTGAAAGTCTTGAAATTCTCCATTTCAATTACTTTACTTTTATGGCATGGGACAGGGGGAAAAAAATGGGAGAATTGGCTTGTCTATACTAATCTGTGTGGTTTTTACCCTTTTCCTTAGTTCTTAAGGAAAGAGTAAATGCAGCTGTGTCAAAGCCCCCTCCTTTCTTAGTCCAGGGTGTGTTAGAGCTGTAAAGGATAATTCTTTTCCTACAGGTGCTTTGGAGTCTTCCAACCACATTTAGTGGTCATGCTTCTCCTGAAGGCAGGGGTGTAAAAAAAGCTGAATCAAAGATTTTTCCACCAGCCTTGGTGTCAAGAGAAGGGACAAATTGAAAATAGGCTAAAGGCTGTAGTCAATAAATCCATGGCAAGGGATCTTGGTTGGTTCTGGTTCTCATGGAAGACTTTCTCCTGGTCCCTTTGTACAATAAATGACCCTCTAGCCCATAGCTGGAAGCAAATAGTCAGCCACCATTTCCCCCAGTTATCCTGGAAATTTCCTGTCATTCCAGAACAGCACCACGAGGAAGAGTGCAAACCCTTCCCGTGGACCAGCACTGTTAATTTGTATACATGTACATAAAGGCATTGGAAAAGCTGATTTATTTCCAGGCCTGCTCTTTGTGCACGGGGGTGTGATGTCCTTTCCATCTGCAGCTGCATCTGGAGCAGGCATTTCCATACCTGACCTGCAGAGCCCTGGGATGAGTTCCCACAGCTGGTGGAGGGTTTTGAGCTGCAGTGGGAAAGTGTCTGATGCTCCAAGGAGCTGCAGGGGAGGGCAGAGCCTCAAGAACCACTTGTGAGGTTCAATGGTGATTGGATGTGACAGATTTCCGTGGCTGTTTCACAGCTTTGAGGATCTTTGTTGCTATTTTACAAATGGAGGAAACTAAGGAGTGGAATCATTTGTTCAAGGTCATCCAAGCCACCACTGACAGAGCTAAATTAAACCTAGACAGCTTGCTTTGACTTCTCTTTTAATTCTGCATTGTGTCCAGAATTTCAGCAAGATAGGTTTATTTTGAAATGGTTAAAATAGGTTTATTTTCAATTTCCTCAGGAAATAACCATTTTGTTCTGTACACAAACAGTCCTGAATATTCAGTGCTGAACAAGCAGTTGATGAGAGGCCATACATCGGTGGCAAGGGGCCAAGGTGCTGTGTATAGATTATTATCTTTATTAAAAACTTATGTATAAGGTTCAGAAAGCTGCTTCAGTACTGAAAACTAATCATCACTGAGTGTGTCCTGTCCTTTAAAGCTTGAATATAAGACTTGTTGGCAGCAGCAATGAAATTATAAAAAGAACGAAGCTGGGAAATTTTGTTTTGGTGTTTTTTTAAGCACAAATCTGGTTGTAAGTATCGGTACCTTTTTTTTTTTCACAGACAATTACACATTTCACTTCATGTTTACTGCCTGAGCAGTTACTCAGCTTGTGACAGGCTCCAGAGATAAACCCCAAATGGCTGGGACAAATGCTAAATGAAGAGCAAACTTTCTGGTTTAAAATTACCCAGTCATTTATGGGCCAACATTGCTCATCAGAAAGATTTTTAATATGAACACAGTGAAGAAAAGACTGCTTGATGACACAAAAATTTCATGAAGCAAGCAGCGTGAGTTTCTTAGGTTTGATTTTTGTTTGGGGTTTTATTTTGTTCACTAGAAGGTGGGAACCAGCTCCAATTAAAACTGTGTGCTGTTGTTTTTCGTAACTACCGAACGTGCATGAACACACGACAATGACAATTTCACTGCAGTTTTTCTGTTCATTAGGGATGGCTCAATTGTGCATAACTAATTAGCAGTCCCTAACTCCAACTGGCCCAGAATTCTCATGTATTTAGTTGTAACACGTTGATTTAGTAGCTGCAGCTTTCATTTCATTCAGTGCAAGCCTTCAGTGAGCGAGTTTCCCGAATTTAGAAGGCATCACTTGATTTGAATAATGCATGAAGGAGGGAACTGCTCTGCCAGAGCACTCTGCAGCCCTCTGGGATGGCTCTGGAGGAGAACAACCTCCCTGCAGCCTCCAGGATGGCACAGCTCTCTGCCACCTGCAGAAAATCCAGAGCCAGGTGGGAAATGGGGAGGGAAACCCAGTTTGGGACAAAAGTGGAGCTGGTGGAGGGGATGGAAGGGATTCCTTGGCAGGTGGGATGTGAAGGTGGGAGGTGTTTGGAGACAAATTCAGCAGTGCTGTAGAGCAGGGAGGAGGTTTTTAAAGGGTCTCTGCTCTCCAGACTTTGACCAAATGGCCAAATGTGGAGTGTAACAAAAAGATAATCTTATCAAAATGCTTACCAATGTGTATATTTTATATGGGGAGAAAAATCACATACTAAATCATCTTTATTCATTTAAAATGCCCTTTGCAACAAGAAACTCTTGATATTACAGGAAAACAA